GGCTCAAGTCTTGACCCATCAAGGTCGAGTATTTTTTAAGTAATCCGCTGACAAGTTACTAGTTTTCAAATGATCACAGGCTCAAGATTAATTTTTTTAAATCCATATGAAATATGTGTTTAGGTGCCGGATGTTAAAATTGTGATTTCAAACTGTCACTTCGGACATAAATATCCAGCCAGCTGTTAGGCAGGGAAGGCTTTTCTTGCCATGGTCACACATTGGTCATGCTCTGTGTTCTATTTTTATGCTCTGATTGGTGAAAATTTAACAGGTGTGTTCATATGGAAAATTTATGCAGCATCTTGAAACTTGTTTACTTTGACAGTTATATGCTTTTGGCTGAAGCTGACAGAGTTTTGTGTCATCTTGAGATGTTTTTAACTGTCTTTTTCCACTGGATGTACAAAATAAAATTGAGCTGGTATCAAGAGTCTTCTGTTATTCATGGCTAGTTTGTTTATTGGGTTTTTGCTTGTCACTTGTCAAAGTCAGAAATTCGATTTTCAGATGGCATCATTTTCATTTTTCACCTTGCTTGATGCGTAAGAGGGTTAAAAAGTCTGAAGCGATTCTGGCCTTACTTGATAGCTTTCAGGAGCTGCATCTCGAATTGTAAGCCTGACTAATTATTGCATTTGATGTTTGTTTTTTATATCTAATTTAATGAAGTCCAGCGTAGTTTATGTGGCTATTTAGTTTACGCATGTTTGTAACATTTGAGACAATGATCTGACCGAGTATCAGGTTTGATGTAAGCTTACAGAACTTTAAAAAGTCTTTAGACATTTTCTCACCACAAATAGAAAGACAACGTTCCAAAGAATATTTTGTTACGATTCCAGCTGTAAAAGAAAGCTTTGAGTGATTTTCTTGCCTTGAGTTCATATGTGAGAATTCGTAGGTTGATATTCGGGTGTTAAGAATGTTTCGTTCACGCTTTTTTTAATTTGTAAACTAGTCAGGCACACCCTAAGGTCGTCGGGGCCTGGGAGCTAGGATTATGGATATTATAGGATGTCGTTTTCAAGAAGTGATGTATCAGCAAAAAAAGCACATGGCGAGAGTTAGTGATCTTTACCGAGAGAGAGTTAGAAGTATTAAAACAGTTCTGTTCTTTATCATGAGCGTGAGTTTATTGTCTGGAGAAACAGTTCCAACAAAGTGGCGACCCTGCCAGGACACAGTCATGACAACACCAGCGGCAACCGTGGAAAATCAGGAGAAAGCATTCCAAAACAAATTGAAAGTACTGCAGCTGACGAACCAAAACACACACAAGATTGCTGGCAGCAATTTGCTGAAACCGATTCAAAGACATCGTAAGCTGATGGAATGCAAAGTTGAGGAATGCCACAAAGTAAAAGTGATTCTGCAAGAACTTAAAATTGGACGAGGTGACGAAGAAGATGACATTAAAGTTTGGAGTTCGGGCATAGAAGCAGAGTCGGGCAAGTACGAGAAAGTGGTCAGAGAATTAGAAGGGCTGGAACAAACGTTAAGGGAACGAGAAGCAAGAGAAACTCAGGAAAAGGAGAAGAAAGCGAGACTT